GTAGCGTGGACCTGAAGCAGCAGTTGAAACCCTAAACCCTAAACCCTCAACCCGAACCGACTTTTTTGCATGTGCCTCTTTAGAGGCAATCCTCGTGAGGAGGGCGGGGCGGGGGTGGGGGGGCTTTGACCACCCCAAGCCCCAAACCCATAGGCCCTAACCCTAAACTCTAACCCCCAAACCCTAAACCCCAAGCCCCCAGCCCTGAACCCCAGCCCTAAACGCTAAACTCCAAACCCTAAACCGTAAATCCTAAACCCTAAATCCTAAACCCTAAACCAAACCCTAAGCTCCAAACCCTAAACCCTAAACCCTGAAGCAGCCATGCCCTTCACAGGAGCTCCCAGAACTCAAGCAGTGGCGCCGGGAGGGCGGCTGTGCCGCACGGGGAGTTTAGGGTTTAGGGTTCTAGGGTTCTAGGGTTCTAGGGTTCTAGGGTTCTAGGGTTCTAGGCTTCTAGGGTTCTAGGGTTCTAGGGTTCTAGGGTTTAGGGTTTAGGGTTTATAAATAGGTTTTAGGGCTTGGGGCTTGGGGCTTCAGTACCCTTGGGGCGCAAATGAACCTTAAACTTGGCGTCAGTGATACTATAGTCCCGAAGAAGGTGCATGGACCGCAAACCCTTTAAGGGTTCATGTATAGTTCCCTAAACCCTAAACCCTAAACCCTAAACCCTAAACCCTAAACCCTAAACCCTAAACCCTACACCCTAATCCCCAAGTTAGTGGAGTTTAGGTCAGCGCAAGGGTCCCCGCAGTCCCCCAGCAGTCCTCCACTGCAGATGTCGTCGGTCCACGAGTGGACAAGCGTGGCATCTCCAAGAAGGAGCCCGAAAACCTGAAAACCGTAAAACCCCTAAAACCCTAAACCCTATACCCTAAACCCCAAAACCCCTAAATCCCCTAAGCGCGGGTGCGCGGGTGGAACCTGCACGAGCGCGTCAGGCTGAAGTCCTCTGACATTTTCGTCCAGACGGCCCAGAGCTTCACACCTTCCTGCACCTACCGGTGCAACGCGTGCAACCCCAAAGGGTCCATGTACCCATATAGCATATACTTGGGCCTTAAAGGGGTTCCTATACAGTAGCTTTAGGGCCCAAATATGTACTATATGGGTACATGGACCCTTAGGGAACAGGGAGATGACATTCAACTCATCCACGTGCGTGGAGGTGCTGCTCAAGCGCAACCGATTCATGACCCATGCTCTCAGGCAGCTGACAACGCAGTTGCCAATAAAGAAGGAAGTGTTGCTCCTTGGGGGCTTTTTTGGGGTCTCGAGTGTGGGGCTTGGGTTTAGGCTCTAGGGTTTAGGGTTTTGGAGCTGTCACGGAGTGTTTGGAGCTGTCAGGGCTTATACGGTTTGAGGCTTCGTACTACTTGGAGAGTCGTGACCCTGCTTGAAGGATCAAATGTCTTTTTCCTTTTCCAATGTTGCTTCTTTGCTTTAAGCAGCTATTATATGCCATGTATATAGATATATAATATGTACATGTACTACATGCTATATAATTATATACGCCCAATACAGGATCTACATGTCAATCCCTGCAACGACACCCCCCCCCCCCCCCCCCCCACAAGCACTTGAACCCAGGAAAGAGAGTGGAGGTGCGGATGCTGCGGGCCGGGTTCCTGGAGTGCGGAGTCATGTCTCTGTAGCCTTGAGGGCCTTCAGACTTCAGGGAGTTGAGGGGTCAGCAGGTCTGCTGCAACGGCTTACCCTATCCTCCAAGCCGTCATTTGACCACGGCAGGTCCGGGTTTAGGGTTTTTAGGCCTCCCCTAGTGAGCAATCCACTTCCAACGTCAAGGTGCTTCAGTGAAGGGCTTTGGGTCTGGGGTTAACGGTTTTGGGTTAAGGGTTGGGGCGTTTCGGGTGTAGGGCATTAAGTTAGCATCATACACAAACGGTCCACGCTCTATCCATGTGGTTGCTTGGCTCAAGTTCCTTAAAAGGCCTGGTGGTTGAAAGATACAAGGTGGGACCTCCAGAAGAAACCCTGAATCTCATTCCCCCTATATATACCAGATATAGTCCCTATACACCTAAGTAGCCCCTACATTACCCTGAGGTCCCTTATAAGGGTCCCTCCGTTAGTCCTTTGAGTGGTACAACAGCGTAACCGAGCATTGGCTTGTAACTTTGGTTGGCAACAAGCTGCGGCCCGAACCTAGCCTCTCCTGGGCGCCCCACCCCCCCCCCCCCCCCCCGCACGTAACCCCCAAAGCCTACGCCCTAAACCCTAAACCCTAAACCCTAAACCCTAAACCCGAAACCCTAAACCCTAAACCCTAAACCCTAAACCCGAAACCCTAAACCCTAAACCCTAAACCCTAAACCCTAAACCCTAAACCCTAAACCCTAAACCCTAAACCCTAACCCTAAACCCTATTCCCAACATCGCAAAGCCCCCCAAACCTGAACCCTCCAAGAGACCGGCAAGCCCAAAGTTTCGGCGCTGGCCCGTGGCACCTGCGTTTTATCTGCATGCCCAGGTGGACAGCACCAAAGTTGAGCAGGCAAGGTTTGGCTAGATTGGTTTTTAGGATACTTTCTATTTTCCTTCTTAGGGCGTATAAGGGACCCTGCGTAAAAATGTATTTCAAAGGGTTTAAAGGCCAACCCAGTCGGAGTTCAGGTTTTCGGGTTTTTCGGTTTTGCGCAGTTTGGGGCTTCGGGTTCGGGGTTTGCGGTTTGGGGTTTGCGGGCATGGCGGTGTGGGCGGTTGCTTTTGGCCAAGAGTGGAATACAAGACGTGTTTGTCTGTGTGCGTGGTACGCTTTACTTCCTTGCTGTCTCAGGGACTTTTGCCTGCCCCTTAATTATACATCTACTGTATTCAGAGGAAGTCTGTCATAGACAGGAGCCCCTTCTCCCCCCCCCCCAAACAAAGAAAGGACTCTACAGTTGATTTAGGGATTATATATAAAGTTTCGGGTTGAACCTGAAAATGTTGTTGCACCGTGGTGTATGGTTGTAGAGTTTGGGTTAGGGAGGGTGGGGGTGGGTCCTTCAATCCTATCACCCCCACCTGAGGCTGGTTTTTAGTGCTGTGGATATAGATTTGGATGTTCCCCCTTATGCTAACAGTCCTTTATCGGGATTATTGTACCCCCTAGTATAATCCCTACTAAGGCCTGTTACTATAAGGGGCACCCTAAACCCTAAACCCTAAATCCTAAATCCTAAACCCTAAACCCGAAACCCGAAACCCTAAACCCTAAACCCTAAACCGCATCCCAAGGTATTTAGAGCCCACCCCAGCAATGCCTTACAACCCTGCCAAGCTCTCTCAGGTGTCCTGAATGATCTTTGCCTTCTGGGCACTTGAGCCGAATACCTTAAACACCCTTCAGTGGCCCTGCAGCAATAAAGTAGGGTTTAGGATTTAGGGTTTAGGGTTTAGGCTTTAGGGTTTAGGCTTTCGGGTGAAAGAAGTGGATGCCGCCACAGGTGTGGCCTCGACAGATTCATCTCTTTGCCAACGGCGCCGAGGCCGAGAGGGCTGCATGGGTCGGGTTCAACCCAAAGAGCCCCATACCCCTTGATTAAGGAATATCCCTTAACTTATAAAGGGATCCTTAATATGATTTAAGGTATGTTCCTTATTTAAGGGGTATTGGGCTCTTTGGGCTCTAGGCGCAATGACCTTTGGGTGCACATCCCCTACGCAATCAAAATCCTTCCTTAAGGTCTATGGACCCTAAACCCTCAAGCCTCTTGCCTCGGGGCTCAGGTTTAGTTGGGGTTGAGGAACCCAGGGTGTGAGTTGGGAGGTGAAAGTTTTGGGCTGCACCTAGTTTTTCTGGCTTCGGGTTTAGGGTTTAGGGTTCCCCGATGCCCGAAACCCTCACGACACGTACAAACTTCGTTGCCCGAAGGGTAAGGGAAATCCTCCTTTTGGAAGGGCAGCTTCAGAACAAGATGTATGGATATACGATAATACATGGGTGCTGAGCTAGATTATGGGCCCCTTACGGGGTCTCTATGATACAGGGTAGCAAAGAGCCTAATATGTCAAGCCGATCAACATCTGGACCATGTGGATGCTTTCTGCTGCCGAGTTTGGCGACCCTTTTGTCAGGAATCTGCCATGCTTTCAAGTCTCTCAGTTCTCATCCCTTTACCATTAAGGGAGGAGGCCTGAAACGTCAAGGGTACGCGTCGTTGCCAGAACCCAGAAACCCTGAACCCTAAACTGTAAGCCCTAAGCCCTCTGAATTGGACTATCATCCTGAACCCTGAACCCTAAAGCTTAAGCCCCAAGCCTTCTGAACTGGACTATCATCCAGAGGGCTGGCCCGACTGAGGGAATACGCCAGGCAGCCAAACTCGCGAGCCAAAGCAGAGCAGCGAAACAATCAGAACTGTAACATCATCATGTATAACGCAGTAAGAATATGAAGAATCATCTTACCCACAAGTTTTGTAAGATTGACAACCCCAGGCTCTGTAAGACGGAGAATAATCTTAGTGTTTAGGGTTTAGAGTTTAGCTGAGAATGGTAGTTGTAATGGTCACAGGAACCGTAAAATTCGAATGATCATACATAAATCGTAAGGTAGAGGAGAAACGCGCTGTTGCACTGCGCTCAACTGGATCTCCCCACACCTTCAATCTTTGACTCCATGTTTCATTACCAACATACGACATATGACGGAAACGCCCATTGAAACTAAAACCCTAAACCCTCGCCCCACTCTCCCCACCATCCCATGGCTTCGTGCAGGTGTTTTCGGTCGATCCGCCGGAGGAGACCGCTCTGGCAGTCGCGATGTCCTGGGGTTTTTAGGGTGTTTAGGGCGTTTAGGGTGCTTAGGGTGCTTAGGGTGCTTAGGGTGTTTAGGGTGTTTGGGGTGTTTAGGGTTTAGGTTGTTAAAGGTTTAATTAAGGTTCAGGTTGCTTGCGCACTTGCAAGAAGGATCATCGGCTGCTGCATTTGATGGTCAAGCGGCCTGCCTGGTTAAACCAGCAGCCTGCTCTGTGCAGCGTTCAGCAGTCATGGCGCTAGGCAGCAAGGTGCTGAACGCTCTCTTCGTCGGCGGCGCGGTGCTCGTGGCCGTCTATGCTTGGGCCATCTATGGGGTCCTCACCGAGTGGCTCATCCCTTTGGGCAGCATGGTGGCACCCGAAATGTCCGAGATGTTCAGATCGGAGAAGGCCGCGATCTACGTTCACGCGCTTTCCTCCGGCTTCTCCCTCACCATTGGCCCCTTCCAGGTCATCCCATCCTTCCGGCAGAAGCACATGCTCCTTGGGGACCTACACGAACCCTAAAAGAGTTTCGTTTTTCGGTCCTCAAGATCTGATATACAAGGGATGATCGCAGAAAACGTAGGGTACGTAGTTGAGTATCCCAGTTGTAGGCGGTTGATTTGGTCCTGCAGGTTGGGACATCGTTGGGCCGGCCGCGTCTACTTCCTGTGCTGTCTCATGGGCTCCATCACGGGCATCATCTTGGCCTTCAAAGCGCAAGGCGGTGCTGTTGGCAAGGCCGGCTTCGCTTGCCTGGGCTTCGCATGGCTCATCAGCAATTTGGTCGGCTTTGCAGCAATTGCCTTCCCTGCCATTCGTTCTGTTCCAGTGCATGAGCGAGCAATGCAGATCAGCTGCGCCCTCGCCTACTCAGCCGTCACGTTGCGCCTCTACCTGCCCGCGGCGGTTCTCAACCCCCGCCATTTCCAGGCCATTTACGCTGGCATTTCGTGGCTGTGCTGGATTCCGAATCTTCTTGTCCTAGAGATCATCCGCTGCAGCGGGAAGAGGCAGCAGGAGCCATCCCAGCCGAAGGAGACACCCGAAGCCAGGGAAGACTGCTAGCATTTCTTATCTTGGTAGCCCAGTGGTAGCTTGTACCCATGTTTTTTGACTCAGGGTTCCCTTTAAAGTGACAAAGAACCAATAAAGCGGTGCCCTTAAAATGTATGTTTGCTGGGCTACTAAACTATGTTTCCAGGCTTGCAATACCCCTACATGTGTCTTCTAGGACTCTTCCGTTATCTGAGGGGTGCGTAGAGTCCCTGAAGATAGTTTCGTACAAAAAATTGGTTGGTTTAGAGTTTAGGGTTTAGGTTTCGACTTAAAAAATATTGTTGGCTGAAAGCATGCCCTGCCCCAGGTTCCGATTCTAATGGAACGGTTTCGTGTTTCGGTGTAGGGTTTTGGGTTTTGGGTTTATAGGCCCTAAACAACGGGTTGATGGGATGTAGGCTTCGGGTGCATGGTAGAGCTTGTTGTTACAAGGGTTTAGGGTTTGGGGTTTGGGGTTCAGGGTTTAAGGTTGAGAGTTTTGGGTTCAGCAACCCACATGAAGTACGATGGCTAGCTTGGCGTCTCCTTCCTGCTGGAAATGGCAAGTTCTCAGTTCCATGCAGATCTAAGACTTCCATGCTGTACACAGCTTCGAGTTCAGGATTCAGGGAAAGGGTTCACGCTAGGATGTCCAGTATCCTTGTTCCCATGATTACAAGTGAGGCTCGCGTAGAACCCATAATTCAGGCACCTGCTGTCGCCTTCCTAAGCCCTTAATCCTAAACCCTAAACCCTAAATCCTAAACCCTAAACCCTAAACCGCAAAAAGCTCGGTTCTTACTTCTGACGTAGCTCAAAAGGCTGAAGCCCTCGAGCAGCTCGAGATTCAGTTTGGAAACTCGCGCATCCGTTTCCGACCGCGGCAATCCCGTTGAGCAAGTTTGCGGCAAAACAGCCTTGCAGCTTCAAAGGGTTTAGGGTTTAGGGTTTTAGGGTTTAGGGTTCAGGGTTCAGGGTTCAGGGTTCAGGGTTCAGGATGGGAAGAATCCCTGAATGAACTACCTTAGGGGCCATAAATGGTGCCTAAAAGGGTTTATGGTCCACATATCCTAGTATGAATTATAGTAGTACACGGTATATGACCCCGTTCTTGGTTTCATTTGGCCCCCAAGGTAAGGAAGATATAATCAAAATTTGCCTTACATTGTTCAATTTTTGCAGGGGTCCTCATGAGGAACGAAGGCATACCACTCAAAGAAAACTTGGCGAAAGAACCGATGGCTGTTCAGTTCAGGATGTAGTAACTCCTTCAACCTCAAGCCAAGCCGCACCCCAAACCCTCATCCTAAACTCACACATCTAGGAGGGCCATAAACGCCGGGACGTTCCTCACGACATCTCCTTTGGCATCAAGGACTGCGTGTCTCCAGGATGTAGGATGGGGTTTAGGGTTTGTGGGGTTAGGTGTTCAGGGCTCATGATTTTCAGTCGCTACTTAGGGCTACTGCTACGACTGGTTTTGGGTTTTATGGGGTTCAGCGTTCAGGGCGTCTTATATTCTTTAGTTGCTACTTACGCCTACTGCTACTGCTACGACTGGTTGGTGATGTTTTTGGGGGAGTGTCCTCTGCACCCAAACCCTGCACGGCAGCTGGCCAAGGATGGTGGATTTGGTTTAGGGTTTAGGGTTTAGGGTTTCGGGTTTAGGGTTTCAAATTTTATGGTTTAGGGTTTAGGGTGTAGGGTTTAGGGTTTAGGGTTTAGGGTTTAGGGTTTAGGGGCCGATGCATCTATAGGAGGGTTAGGATTCTGGGCTCAAGTTTTTTTGTTTTGTGAGGAATGGGAATCGGGACTCAGGGATTAGGTGTCAGATGGCTTCAATGGCTTTCGGGGTTTGGTCTATCTACCGCAAAGCTCAGTTGGCGCTGTGAGTTTGCCGGGTTTGTGCGATCTACCTAACACCTAAAGTGCTGCACGAAATATACTGTACAAGTTTCCGGAACTTAGAATTTGGCTTATGTCGTGTGCATTGTGGTTCTCATGCCATTTGGGACATTGCTTCACTGTGTGGAGCTTCGTGGCCCCAAGTATGGAGACTCTCAGCCTGTAAGCCCTGCGGCCCGAAAGATGTTGGACCCTCCTACTTGCTCAGGAGGAGAAGACAAGCAATTAGCAAGCAACGGCCCCACTCTTGACATCTGAAGAAGCCCCCTGTCAGGCGGGACGAAACGACATCGTGGTGCGGATGGTCTGCGGCCTACCGCATACGCTACATACGCTGCATACGCTGCATACAATGCATTCACGGCATTCACGGCATGCTCTGCATGCACTGCATTCTTTCGGCTTGTGGAGCTTGTATATAAGCAAGTAGATGTAGGCCGATAGGCCACGCAGTTTTTGATCCGGTTTTTTTGCCATGGCCAGCGAAGATGGAGAGACCCTTGCGGAACAAATCAACCTTAAAATTGAGGTCATATACCCTGTACTGCTATAATAATCCCTATTAAGGTAATACGGATCCATAAACCCCTTAAAATTGAGGTCATATACCCTGTACTGCTATAATTCCTAGGAATGTCATATGTCACCATGGACCCTTTTGGGGTTCATGTCGTCCCCAAGGACCGTTGAGAGTCCGCACTCCGTGGTTACGCAGTCCGACTTGGTGAGGACCACGTCCCGAGTCTTGGAGACGGAGCTCCTAAGGGGAGTGGCCCTCCATCGGGTCCCTTGGAGACCACATGAACCCTAAGATTGGGATCATATGCCCTATGCTACCACTTGCTTAAAAACCCCGGGAAATAAACAATCATATTCCTCATTAAGGGCAATATGGGGAATATGTTTAAATTCTTTTGGGGTTCCTAAGCAAATAATGGTATGCTACTCTAATCCTTATTAATGTATGTGGACCATAAACCCTGTTAGGGGTTCATGTACCCTGACACTGGGATCATATGCCCTATGCCCATGCCACTCTAATCCTTATGAACGTATATGGACCACAAAAACCCTTTTAGGGGTTCATTTACCCTAAAACTGGGATCATATGCCTTATGAACGTATATGGACCACAAAAGCCCTGTTAGGGTTCGTTTTATTCCCCAAGGTCTTGAGCCACTGGGGGAGGCACTTCTCGCCACCGGATTCGGGTATGTTCCGAGTCGATCCAGGGTTATATCAGCTCAGCGACTTGGTAGCCCAGTGGCGCCCTTTTTTCCCCATGTTTTTGGCTCAAGGTACCCTAAACCCTAAACCCTAAACCCTAAACCCTAAACCCTAAACCCTAAACCCTAAACCCTAAACCCTAAACCCTAAACCCTAAACCCTAAACCCTAAACCCTAAACCCTAAACCCAAACAAAAGGGTGCCCCTATTGAAACATGCTTACGGGGCGACCCTGAGGTGTGGAAACAGAAGCCCTGGATGACTTCTTGAGCCACGACTGGCAGACGCCTCGTTGGATGAAGGTCTCGGCCTTGCTCATCATCCACAACTCCAAGGCTTCGCGCCTTAAGGTTTAGGGTTTAGGGTTTAGGGTTTAGGGTTTAGGGTTTAGGGTTTAGGGTTAGAGGGTTTACGGTTTGGGGCTTGGGTTTGAGGGTATAGGGTTGAGGGTTTAAGGTTCCCTTTGCCTAACGGTCCTTAGTAGGGATCATAGTACCCCCCCCCCCCCCCCCCCCTAAACCCTAAACCCTAAACCCTAAACCCTAAACCCTAAACCCTAAACCCTAAACCCTAAACCCTAAACCCTAAACCCTATCAGGAGCTGTTCGTATCAGGGGGAACATGCAAACACACTCCTCCCAGGCCGCTGGCATCGCATCACTGGTCGCCAGCTGCTTGATTGGCATCCTGCGGGCTGCATCTTTGCTCTATCCCGCTTGGGAATTATTTTTTAGAGTTTAGGGTTTAGGGTTTAGGGTTTAGTTTTTTTTTTAAAACTTTTGTTTATGTAGAACCCAAGAGGATGTTAAAAATAGTACTTTTAATAAGGTTCTAAGGGCAGTATTGTTGTGGCTGCATGAGTACACTTTACCTATAGGACCCGGAGTAGGCCCTTCTTTTTCATAGTTTTTTGGGTTCCCATTATCATCCCCTTAAAACCAAAAAGGGTACTCTTCTTATTCCTAGGCTACTCCTGGTTCTGGTTACACTTGTTGGGATACTACAATCCCCTATAGAACTGCATGTGTACACTTTTTGGGGGGGCTTATGAACTCAGCAACTGAGGTACAGCTCCTGCCCAACGAGCCCTGGACGCTTTGCATCGGGCATGCCATCTTCGGGTTGCTGAGGGATACTTGGGAGCAGGTTTACTTTGGGCACAACAACTCCGATGAAACAGCTGAAATTACACTTTTTTTCCAGGGCTCCACGTTCAGTATAGGTTGGTCCTGTCCTTTTGGCAACGCCTCCGACTATTGTTTTGCAAGCCAAAGATGATGTTCTTGGACAAGCTTTGCATTACCCAGCACGATGAGGACCTGAAACGCAAGGGAATACTTGGGCTTCCCGCTTTCCTCAATTGCTCCCAGCGCTTCACGATCCTGTGGTCCGCGCGATATTTCAATCGTCTATTTTGCGCCTACGAAGTAGCCACCTTTCTCGCGCGCCCGAGGGAGGACGCTGCAATCCGGCTCATGCCCGTGAAGTTGGCGGCGATCATCTTCATGGTCAGCGCAGCGTGCCACGCCAGTGGACTGGGATATTGGCTCCTGGTGGAGCTAACAGTCAGCCGGGGTTCCTTAGTAGCTGAGTGAGCACACTTTACCCTTTTTGGGATACTATCATCCCCTATAGAACTGAAAGTGTACACTTTTTTGGTGGCCTATGAACTCAGCAACTCAGGTTCTGAAGTACCGAACATGCTCCAGTTCTGCTTGCTCTGGGTCTCGCTCACACCGTTGCTGGCAACAACCCTGCCCGTGCCTTTGGGGACTAAATGAACCCTAAAGTGGTCTCTGGTCCATATTATACCTTCGTGGGAGTAGAGTAGCATAGGGTATGTGACCTAAACCCTGAAACCCTGAAATTTCTGAAACCCTAAACCCTAAACCCCCTAAGACCGCAATCTTTGGGTTCATTTGGTCCCCAAGGTGGTCTTCTACGTGGGCATTGGGCTCATTGTGGAGATGAAGGACTTAGCTGAGTGAGAACACTTTACACTTTTTGGGATACCATCATCCCCCTATAGAACTGGAAGTGTACACTTCTTGGGATACCATAAATCCCCTAGTAGAACTGGAAGTGTACACTTCTTGGGGGCTTATGAACTCAGCAGCCCACAGGAGCTTCCCTTGCAGCTCGCAAAGTTCAGGATCGAAGCTTCAGAGTGTTACTGTTGCTTGGGAGCCCAGTGGTACCCCTGTTGCCTTTTTTTTTGGGGCGGGGGGGGGGGGGGGGCTTTGGTCCATCCCCCCCAAAAAAAAGGGGGGCACCTTATGTTTAGTGTAGCTGCTGGGCGGCCAAGGTTGCAGCAACAACCATCGGCACCCCGAGACGGGCGAGGTCTTGAGGTGTGATCGGCAGCTGATCCTTAAGACTCTGCAGTCCCTTGGGGCACCAAGCGAACCCTAAAATGGCGGGGTCATATCCCCTATGCTACTCGAATCATCTAATCCCTACTCACCCTAAACCCTAAACCCTAAACCCTAAGCCCTAAACCCCCCCCCCGCCTAAGCCCCTAAACCAGCTATATGGACCAGAAAGACCCTTTTTTGGGGTTCATGTAGTCCCCAACAAGGGCATGGCACACTGGACCTGACGGAGGGCATGTTCATGCCTTCAATGAGCTGGTTCGTGGCCAGCTGGCCTCGGTCATTTCAAGCGTGCTACATTACAGGCTGCCCCTGAGGTCTTCGTAGCTGAGTGAGCACACTTTGTGCACTTTTTGGGATACTCTACATTAGTCGAACTGAAAGTGTACACTTTGTTTGGGGGGGGCTTATGAACTCAGCAACTATAAGAGGTACATTGTGAGCATGATGTGCAGCTGCAGCTTTCCCTCCCTCGCTTGTCTGATCCCGAAGTTGGCGACGATTGCTGCGGAGGGTGGGACATTCACCTGCAGCCTGCGTGCCATCATGCACTGGGCCTACATCTTCTTGGTGGCTGTATTCTGGCCACAGCTCTGCCTGCACTTGTTCGTCCTTGGCACCTTTGCCGTTGAGTAGGTAGCCTTTAACCTTTTTGGGGCATCCTAATCCCTACAAAATCCCGATAAAATCCAAAGGTTAGCCTTTAGTACCCCCGGGTTACTGGACAACTCAGGCACGAAGCTGATGAGGCGCGTGTCACGTGTCGCGGCGACGGCCGTAGTGGTAAGCATCTCCTTTGGCTGCGTGACAGCGGCATGGATGCTCGGCAGCCCAGTGGTACCCTTGACCCTTCTTTGGTTTGGTTCCGGGTTCCCTTCTAAAGTAACGAAAACCCCAAAAAGGGGTTCCCTTACTCTTATATGGTTGCTGGGCTACTAAGGATGGCATTCCAACTCACTGTGGCTGCCACGGCCTGCGACAGCTTAATGCCTGCAGTCCCGTTCCTGCTGTTCTCAGCTGTGAATCTTATGCTGTGTAGACTTCCCGAATCCTTGAAATCCATAGTGGCCATGGTGACGCATCGGCCTATTGGGGCATCCGTCTTCCCCAAGCCCGACAGCTCCAGGATACCTGAAGCTGAGACGGCCAGCACATTTTCCATTTGAGCGCTTATAACTTGGTAGCCCACTTCTAGGTTGCCTTATAAAGTAACCAGCCCCAAAAAGGTACCCTTGATACAATATGGTTCTGGGCTACCAAGATAACGCTCTCAGGCAATCCTGAGAACCAAATGAACTTAAGGTTCGCTAATATGTGGGCGGTTGTCAAAATCATTTTGGGGTCCCTGATATTATACGGCACCGAATATGTAGGGTGTCCAAAAAGGGACCCTAATTTTGACAACTACCCATCTGGTCATTAGGGAACTTACATGTCTTAATGCCAGTTGCGAAATGCAGAGGGATGACCGTGGCACCCTTTTGCCTCCCTTCCCCCACGATTGCCCTAAACCCTAAACCCTATTATAAACCCTAAACCCTAAGCCCGTAGTTTCCAGCTGAAGCTCCAACAGCATTTCCAGCAAGAAGCAGTGCCCTAAAGGCAAGGTCCAACCCCCAATTCTGAACTCCAAACCCTAAACCCTAAACCCTAAACCCTAAATCCTAACCCCGAGCCCAGAACCCAAAGCCCCCTAAACTCCAAGCTCCCCTGACGGGCTACATGCTGCTGCTCAGTATAGAGGTTCCGGGTCCTATCATGGCTAAACTCCCTATTTCCGACGGGGTCTGGGGTTTGGGGTTTAGGGGTTACCCTAAACCCTAAACCCTAAACCCTGGGCGCGTGTCAAACATAAGGTCGATGACGACTGCGTTGGGTTTGCGCTGGTCGTGCTGCTCACCTGCCCCCAGAGTGAGGAGGAGCTGTCGGCACAGGTTCCGAGCGCTGCGAGACCCCCTAAACCCCTAACCCCTAAACCCTAAACCGAAAGTGTGCGATCTTGGGTTAGGCTTGTTGGGCGCGCAGCAGAGTTGCTGGGTTCAGTGCTATTCTGTCCTCGGTGCTTATGGGGGCTCAAACCCTACTCCTGAGGCCCTTTAAAAAATTTCAAGAACCCGAGCCCATCATCTTCAAAGGTTACGGTTTGGGGTTTAGGGGTTCCAAAAACCCCTAAACCCTCATCCCTAAACCCTAAACTACCCTAACCAAGGGGGATATGGGGTCAGCAAAAAAAGGATCAAACAAAAAACAGGGATCAATAGCAAAATATGTTTAAACCCTAGGCCCTATACCCTAAACCCTAGGCCCTAAACCCTGAACCCTGAACCGTGAACCGTGAACCGTGAACTCTAAACCCTAAACCCTAAACCCTAAACCCTAAACCCTAAACCCTAAACCCTAAACCCTAAACCCTAAACCCTAACCCTACCTTAAACCTTAAATTGTTTGTTCTTGATCCGGCAGCCAAGGCTCATGGGCTTTAGTCATGGGTTCCCATACTACCCTCCTCTCTACTACCCCCCTAGGTTCCCCCCATCATTAAGGCGATTTAGGGATAATTAAGCTTAATTAATGTTATTTAACGGGGGAGCCTAGCGGGGGTAGTATAGAGGGGGGTAGTAGGGGAACCCATGATGTAGGTACTCCGGTCTTTGGAAGAAAAGCCGTGGGTCGAAATCGAAGGGAAAAGGGTTTGCACCATCAGTGATGCTCATGTTTCTCTACACCCGACTCCCAAACTCCCAGCACCCGAAGCACTGAACCCTTAAACCCGAAACCCTAAACCGCTGCTGACCCTCAACTCCAGCAAACCCCAGCTAGGCTTCATGCGAGGCTCAGGCATTGCGTTCAAGGGTGTAGGGTTTATAGGTGGAGGGTTGATATCTGCATTGCAGGAGCTTAGAGCAAGGGCTACAATCTCTACAAATCTTGCATCCAACAGCCCTAAACCCTAAACCCCACACCCTATGCCCCCCAAACCTTAAACCATAAACCCTAAACCCTAAACCCTGAACCCTGAACCCTAAACCCTAAACACTAAAGCCAAACCCTAACCCCCAAACCTTAAACCCTAAACCCTATGAGGGCCAACCCTGAACCCGTAGGTTGAACACGTGAGCGTGGACGTCGCGAGAAAGCGTGTGTGTGAATTGCTGGCCCAGCAAGCTGCCAGCCTTGTCCCCGGTGTCTTGAGCAGGGTTTAGGGTTAGGGTTGAGGGTTTAGGGTTTAAAGGCGTTGAGGGTTGTTAGGGGATTAGTATCCCTAAACCCTGCATCGTAAACCCCAAACTCACCTAGGGTTGAGGGGTTTTAGGGTGCAGGGTGTCGGTTCTTGAGCGTCAGGCAGGCTTGGGATTTGGGTGATCCATCAGGGCTTTGGGTTTAGGATTTTGGGAAGAGGGTTGAGGAGCTAGGGTTCAGGATTTGGGATTTAGGGTTTAGGGTTTAGGGTTTAGGGTTTAGGGTTTAGGGTTTAGGGTTAGGATTGGTTTAGGGGTTTATGGGTTGAGTTGTAGGTTGGGCCTGGGTGCGGTAGACCCTGGAGTTGCAAGCACTTCTTGTGGCCGAAGTGAATGGTTTAGGGTCTTAGGGTCTTAGGGTCTTAGGGTTTTGGGGGTTTAGGATTTAGGGTTTAGGGTTTAGGGTCTTAGGGTTTAGGGTCTTAGGGTCTTAGGGTCTTAGGGTCTTAGGGTCTTAGCGTCTTAGGGTTTAGGGTTTTGGGTTTTGGGTTTAGGTTTAGGGTCTTAGGGTCTTAGGGTTTTGGGTTTAGGGTTTAGGGTTTTAGGGTCTTAGGGTCTTAGGGTTTAGGGTCTTAGGGTCTTAGGGTCTTGGGGTCTTAGGGTTTTGGGGTTTAGGGTTTGGGGTTTAGGGGTTTGGGGTTTAGGGTTTAGGGTTTAGGGTTTAGGGTTTAGGGTTTAGGGTTTAGGGTTTAGGCGGGTCTTAGGGTCTTAGGGTCTAGGGTCTTAGGGTCTTAGGGTCTTAGGGTCTTAGGGTCTTAGGGTCTTAGGGTTTTGGGTTTAGGGTTTAGGGTTTTGGGTTTAGGTTTAGGGTCTTAGGGTCTTAGGGTTTTGGGTTTAGGGTTTAGGGTTTTTGGGTCTTAGGGTCTTAGGGTCTTAGGGTTTAGGGTCTTAGGGTCTTAGGGTCTTGGGGTCTTAGGGTTTTGGGTCTTAGGGTTTAGGGTTTTGGGTTTTGGGTTTTGGGTTTAGGGTTCAGGGTTTAGGGTGAGGGGGGGGGATCCCTGGTGCTACCCAACAACTTTCCCCAAACGTACCTGGGCTGCCTGGGGTTGAAGATTTGTATTTAGGGTTGATGCCATTGAAGTTCGATGGGCCCTCGGCAGGGAGACGCTGCTACGCAGGGCCCTGTAGCTACCCCTGTTCCTTCCTCTCCTGGTGCCCTCCCGATGTCCGCTCCAACAAGCCCCGTGGCAAGTCCTCGCAGCAAAGCGCCCACGGTGTCCACAGCAAGCTCCACGGCCAGTCTTCCCAGCAAAGCGCCCCCTGTGTCCACCTCAATTGCCCAAAACGTTGGGAGTGCAATGGATGAAGAAGAGGTTGGCCAGGCTGGTCAAGCCGCGGTCGGATGGGTCTTACATCGTGCCGATGTCTGTGGTTGAGAATTTCCAAGATCTGACTGCCAGAGAGCAGCTCATCACAGATTTCATCAAGTCGGGGTTGGACAAGGACCGCTAGAATTGTAGTTGTGCAGCCCATTAAAAGTCTCCTGCGTACATCCACAACCCTGAAAAATTGTAGGAGAAGTTCGTGAACAAGACCAGAAGGGTGTAGGGTTCAGAAATTATGGTTTAGGTTTAGGGGTTAGGGTTTAGGTGATGGTTTAGGGTTCACCCCAACCTTCAGTCTGATTGAAGGAAGGATTTCGGGTTCCAGGTTCGACCCTAAACCCTAAAGCCAAAACCCTAAACCTTAAACCCTAATCCCTAAACCCTAAACCCTGCTGAGGGCGCAGGGTTTGCATCGCAGCAATTCAAGTCTTTTCCAGAACGTCCAGCATTCAATTCTTAGCATTCCCTGGCAGATAATTTCTGGTTCTTGGTGGTGTCTAGGCTTTAGGGCTAAACCCTAAACCCTAAAAAGGGTCACAAGCATCCCGGAACTCAGCGGTTCGTAGTAGTGACTTGGGGATCTGTTTCCCTATTATTTCACCCGCTGAAGGGACTTCGAAGTCACAAGGCACTCACTTCCCTTCTTCAAAGGACTCGTGACTCGTAAGTGAATTTAGATGGTTTAGGGCTTAGGGCCTTCGGGATCTGCTTTGGGTTTCGGGATTCTACAATAGCAGCATAACGTGACAATTTCGCCAGTATTGCCCTACACCCTAAACCCTAAACCCTAGACCCTAAACTCTAGTAGGGTGTTTGGGGTTTGGGGCGTCAGCCGTCGGAGCCTGAGACGTCGACCGTTGAAGTTTCCAGAGTCGCGGACGTCTCTTGAAATGTCAAACCCTAAACCCTCAACCCGAAGCCCTAAACCCTAAACCCTAAAACCTAAACCGTCCTGAGGGAAACAGAGTCTGGGGTTTCGGGTTTAGGGTTTAGGGTTTAGGGCTGACAGGATTCTGGTCTTAGAGCTTTATAGTGAACATGTATTTTGACCTAGCACAACCAACAGCTTTCAACCCTCCTTCATGAACCATCCAGGGGGTCCCATTTGTAGTACCATTGTGGAATTAGGTACCCAAAAAGCAGACGAAGTAGGCTAAACCCTAAACCCTAAACCCTACACCCTACACCCTACACTCTACACCCTAATTCCATAATAGTACTACAAGTGTACTCTCTGGGCATGTAAGCAACGTCGCCACAAGCAATTCCGAGCAAATGGCCCTCAGTCATCTGGGAGTTTGCGAAAACAGGGGAGCCCCAATATAGATCCCAAGTAATAGGATCGGGTTTAGGGCTTAGGGTTTAGGGTTTAGGGTTTCGGGTTTAGGGCCCTTAGAATAAGGACCCCCAATAAGGTACCCCTTTTCGGAAACCCCCATCTGCTGACGCCCAGGTGCTCGTGCCGGAGCGCAAGGGAATGGCGAGGAGAGTTGGGGGGCTCGGGGTTTAGGGTCTAGGGTTTGGAAGTTTACGAAGATAAGGGGACCCCCAATGTAGAGCCCCAAATACTAGGATCCCCTTGTCACCAGGACCCCGATAAGG